AGGAAATTCCACAAGTGGTGACTTATCAGAAAAATTACCTGGTCCATAAGAATCTTGACCATTCATGGGAACTAGCATTTGAATTGAAGATGGTTAATATTTTGGGTCAGAAGGGAGTAGCAGTCTCTGAAGCAACACTGTTCAGAGGTTAATAGTAGGGAGCTTTTGGCATTTCACTGAACTGATAATTGACAGCCAGTTCTGCATGTACAAGATGGGCTCAATATGGTCACAGGCTATCTTTCTCAAATGGAATAGCTGCATTCTTTACTGTTTAAATTTTCTTGGTGACATTCACTGTTAGACTCAGATAGCATGTGTGGCAGTTTTCTAGACTACAGAAGTGATTCTGCAACTCTTGCTTTAGGAAAGTTACTACCTCCCCAACTGCCAAACACCTTGTGGAGATAGCAAGAACAAGAATCTTCTGAAACCTGGGCCATTACCTTTGAGCCTGACCTACTAACAGTTGATTAGTATAGCAGGGTGAAGTTACAAAGTCTGTTCTATCATTCAGCATGAGGTTTTTAAATATTAATTTTTAGCCAACCAGATTAGTGTAAAATTAAACCTGTATGAAAGACAAGGAATTCTTAAGATGTGTCTTACTGGACCAACTGCATAGTTGGGATGGAGTTAGAAAAGCCCTAAGAAATCCATGCCCCTCTCAATTTCTGGACCATCACAGCTACAACTTCACTCTAAATAAATCTATACTGAGGATTTGACTTAAACATTTTTAATTAAAAATACATTCAAGCAGTATGTATTAGCTGAAAGCCTGAATGAAGTCAGGCAACTGAATTAGAGGAAGTCACTGGCACTCTGAAGTGTTAAACCAGCTCATGGTAGCAGTAGCAGCCTCCACAGGTGTAGAGGGACTAGATATCTGCATTTGTACATTCAGCTTGTAAAGTCAATGTTTTCTTCAGAGTTGACAAATGATTGTGATTTGAAAACACAGGAGAGATGGGAAGAGGAAGAAAAGTTATCACTAAAAATGAGGTTTGACAGTGCTATCTAGTACAGTAGTTGTAAAGTATAGTAAAAATAAAAAGGTGACCAGAAATAATGGGTTCAATTCATTAATACTTCCTTAGTTTAATGAATTGGTTTTGAATCCAAAACAAGCCTTGATGAATGTTCTTGTGTATTCAACAGATTAAAGGTCATTTTATTTCATAAACTTTTTAAAAACTGTTAATTTCTTTAAATATTTCAAGTAAAAAATTAATAAATAAAATGTGACTAGTTATATCTTAACAGGGTACCCGTGCAATTAATGTGATGCAATAAACTGGAGCAGTTTGAGCTGGAGTAACTGCTCCTGGGTGCAGCATCTACACATGTGCTGGGGACAGCAGCAATTTGATCTGGAGCAGAGTAGGCCCCTGACTAGCTGGGCTGACTGGGTGCAATGTATGCCTGTAGTCAGCATCTACACATGTGTTTTGGCACAGTAATCTGCCATAAGATAGTACTGTCCCTGACACCACTATCCTACGATGGAGTTGATTCATTTACTACACTGTAATACCAACACACATGTAGGCTATGATACTACTCCAGAGCTGATTAGTCTACTCCACAGTAAAGTATATGTGTATACTTTATAAGTATGTAAGGAGGTAGTCCAAGCAACCAGGGAAGCTGGGAACAGGGAGAAGCAAATGACGGTTTGCGAGCAGTTTGCTGGGAGCAAGAGGAAGAAAGCAAGGAGGAACCAGGCACCAGATCCTGCTCTGGGAAGATAACTGAGCTAGGGTTGCCTGTGTTCTTGGCTTGCTGTTTGGTGAGTTGTGTGCTTGGGTGTGTGCCCTGAGCAGCTGAGTGAACTGATTGCTGCCTGGGTGTGGAAAGGGGCCCTAACCAGCCTAGGGCCAGGGAAGGTATATAAGGAAGTAGTCCAAGTGACCTGCAGAGCAGCAAACAGGGAGAAGCAAATGGGACAGTTTGCTGGTCAGTTTGCCATCCCTCTCTTTGAAGAGCAGCCTGAAAGGTAAGATTCTTTTTTTTATATGTAATTAGGACCGACTAACTATATTGTTTTATTTTAGCAGCTAAAACTCAGCAGCTAGACCAAGACTTTAACCCACTGTTTAACTAGATTCCAGAGTGAGGGGGATTTGCTCGGAAACTCTCTCATATTACTTCACCATAAGCTGGCTGAGAGGAAGGAGGTTGCAGGGAAAAGGGAACCCTTCAGGTCAAGGAACAGCAAACAGGCCAGCTGCAGAGGAGTTTGCTAGCAAAGGTCTGCTTGGAAAGAGGCACAAAGTGAGAGGCAGCAGATTAGAAGACCCAGCGACATGGCTGGAAGATATTGCAATCTCAGAGTCTCTGCCACTTCCAGCTCTTCCTCTGCTTCCACCTGTTGAGATGTCTGTCCAGGCAGGACCACACATTTTTTGAGGCTTCCACTCAGGTCCTGGTTTGGTGCTGTGCAGACTGTGGCTTGCAGGTCGTTCCAGTATCAGCCAGGTGGGGTGGTGAGGGAAGTGTCTGCAATATAAGCAGTGCCTTCTAGTGGTGTCCCTTGGAGAGAAGGCAAGAGAGCTACAGGAGAAAGTAGGCTCTGAAGCATCCACCACCATGAGGACTTCATTGAGTCCATGCTGGAGGAAACCTCTGTGGAGGAAGGACTACTAGAAGTGGTGCTAGAAAAGAAAGAGGGCATGGACTCCCAGCAAGGTGGAAACTGGAAGCTTGTATCTTTTGGCAGCAAGAAGAAGTCGTCATCTCCATGTGCAGTGGTATACCTAGAGAACAAATATGGAGTGCTAGCAACAGAGGAGGAGCACATTCTATTGGTGGAAGAGACCAAGCCAAGAATCCCCAAGGTGGTTGGAGATGCCCTTCTGCCAGGGACAGAAGTGTTCATCTGCCAGCCTGACCTGTTGTCCCAGGAGGTCTGCTGCTTGCCTGGAGCCCATATCAAAGATGTCACAGAAGGATTACTGAGACTCCTCCAACCCTCTGACTACTACCCCATGCTGCTCATCCATGTGGGCACCAATGATACTGCCAGGGGTGACCCTGAGCAGATCGAGAGTGACTACAAGGCTCTGGGTGCAAGGGTGAAAGGGAGTAGTCTGGGTTTGGCTCTGTGGGGACTGTGGTTTGCAGGTTCCTTCCAGTGATGGCCAGGTCAGGGAGTGCCTGTAGTGTGAGCAGTCCTCTTGGTGTCTTTCAGGCAAGAAAGCTACAGGAGAAGGTGGTGAGGCTCCGAAGCATCCTCCACCATGAGGAGTTCAGTTCGATACTGGAGGAGACCTCTGGGACTGTGGAGGAAGAACTGCCAGAGGCAGCACTAGAGAAGAGAGAGAACATGGGCTCCCAGGAAGGTGGAAGCTTCTGGCCTCTGGCAGCAAGCAGAAATCTTCAGCTCCACCTGCAGCAGTTCACTGGAGAACAGATATGCAGCCCTAGCAATAGAGAGGGAGGAGCACGTTCCATGAGTCACCAAGGTGGGAAGGATTGAGACAACTGCCACCAAGAAGAAGGGATGGGTGATGGTGGTTAGAGACTCCCATCTGCGAGGGACAGAGGGAACTGTCTGCTGATCTGACCTGTCTTAGGAAGTCTGCTGCTTGCCCAGATCCCAGATGTCAAGGAGGGATTACCAAGACTCAACCAGCCCTTTGACTACTACTCCATGCTGCTCATCCATGTAGGCACCAATGATACAGGGGAGACTGTGAGCAGCATCAAAGGTGACTACAGGGCTTTGGGTGTGAGGATGAAGGGGTCTGGGGCTCAGGTTGTGTTCTCTTCAATCCTTCCAGTCAAGGGAAAGGGCCTGGGCAGGAACGGGTGCATCTTGCAGATCAATACCTGGCTGCTCAGGTGATGTTGCCAGCAGGGCGTTGGCTTCTTCAACCATGGGATGTTTCATAGTTTTATAGCAGCTAGGGTCAGGAGGGA